TATATATATATATATATATATATATATATATATATATATATATATATATATATATATATATATATATATATATATATATATATATATATATATATATATATTCTAAATGAATGTATCTGTTTTCCCTCATTTTCTCACTAATGACATGATTAGAGAGCTTATCATTAAGTTTCGACGTCGTCCGTCTATCGAATTTGCCATGCTTTTCTAGCTCAAAAACATATTTCAAATGGTTGTTGCTCTTACTATAGCACTTCAAGATTCATCACATATATTATTTGGAATTTATTTTTCGATTTCCCGTTTTATGTTAATTAGTCAATCGAACCCCATCTCTGTGTTTTCGGATTATGATGATCGGTTAATTTTCAAAGTTTTGCACGAGTCTTGAAATTCTAGAAAGCAAGTAAGCAAACAGTCTCTTATAATAAGATAAGCAACTAACTTCTTACAACCTTTGTTCATCATCATTGATCAAAACTCGAGCACAATACCAACCTTAATCGTCACGAAACAACACGACAAGGAGAACTAAGAACAAGCTTCTTATTATAAAATATTCACATATAAAGATCGTGACGTCGTAATCAAGAAAGTTCAATAACTAAATGAACAAACTGTGCCTTGTGTGGAAGTACTCAACGGAGGTGAATTCATCGACCCAAATCGGACAACCATTATACAGTGAACCGTAAAACGGGTTCTCTTCGAAACCCAATTCCCCACTCGCCACCTCAGCTTCCCCACCACATTAAATTCCATCTCCAATTTTCCGATTTCTTGATCTCGTTCAAGCTGATAAGCCAAAAACGGGCTCACGGGCTGATGATTTCCGACCAACAAAGCACTGAGAGGCTTCGTTTCTCCGTGATCTACGTAGAACGGGGTTACGGAAGCTTCCGGAGAGATCCTTTCTCCTTTGTAAGAAGCGTACACTACGAATTCGTCGTAGTGTATGCCAAGTTTGTCGTTTGGATTGGTGGATGCAAGAGTGATGTGGATTGAGGAGTTGAGTGAGGATGGAGTTGTGATTTTGAGCTGGTTTATTTGAGCTTCTTTGATGGAAAATCGAGGCTTTGTGGGGCGGATGATCAGCCAAACGAGGAGTGTGATGGAGATTAGTACGAGGAAGATTGTGCTCATGCAAAAGAAGAGCCTTTTGATGAATCTTTCTGAGATGAGTTCTTGCTTTTTAGCACAGTGTTGTGGTGAATTTTCAGTGATTAGAGACATTTTTTAGAGAGAGAGAGAAGAAATATTGTAATGCTGAGGAAATTAAGGAGGGAAATGAAAGCAATGGAGTTAATATAAAGGGGTTGATGGTGTTATAAAAAGTAGATTTTTTTTTTTTTTTTTTTTTTTTTTTTTTTTTTTTTTTTTTTACTGTTAGCTGATGTTTTGACTGGCAGTTCAAATTGTTGGAGTTAGTTGTAAAAAAAATAAAGAAATGATTTTTGTTCTATAAATGAGTTTAACTGTAATCCCGTTTTCGAACTGTTACTGAAAACCTTAACTGTAATACTATTTATTCCAAGATTCTTGTTTATATAGATAAACGATGATCGTTAAACAACTATGGAGGAACGTTTTCCATCATTGATTCATGAATGTACTGGCTTAATTATATACGAGATTCTGTCTTCGTAAGAATATAATAATATGACTGCTAAAAATAATTTAAACTATTAATCTTGCTTATGTTAAAGAGTTTGGAGAAAGATGATTCAAAAGGCTGAGGAAAAAAAAACATACAATCATATAGACTTTATGGTAGCCCCCCCTAAGTGTATGGTGACTATGGTGGCCATTTACTTTGGGGTTAAGGAAAAGGGTTTCTGATTTTTCAGTACTGCCATGGATATGAAATTTCAATAAGATTGACTATGATTGGTTAGTTTTCGGAAAAAAAAAAAAAACGGAAGTGTTTTATGTTTAGGAAGAAATACGGGTTTTACTGTAGCTGTCAAAAAATTTCGACACATATTGATTTTGGGCGTCGAATTTCAAGATATTGTGATGCAATAGTATAACAAGAGAATCTAACTATTGCATAATCAAAATCCTTTTGTAATTAAGCAAAAAATTATAGATTTCAATCAATGTTCTTAACTGTTTTATTGACATTGAGAGGTGGAAAGGCTTACTAAAATAGTGAAGTAACATTAAAATTTACCACTCTCTAAAAAGACTATCAAAACCTCCATTTTCAAGAAAATTATATATATATATGGAGAGAAATATATACGTACCGAAAGCTCCAACTGCATCCGTGCCCGTTTAAATCATCGCTCGAAATGAAATGAAAAAGTGGTAGCTGCAATTATTTTTTCATCTGTCAATTAAATGTGTTCCATAGTGAGGATTAATTTGTTAGCTGTCCATCTTAATAGGAAGTAAAGAAATAGGCAATTTTCTTTTACATTTTGAGAAAATGGCAATAAACTCACCTTTCTTTTCTCGCTTTTTACCCATACTGCAACTACTTAATGACTTCACATCTATGGAGATGAATATATATATATATATATATATATATATATATATATATATATATATATATATATATATAGCCTGTAAATTTATATTACCATCAAAAGTAACAGAGTAAAAAGGCAAAAAAGCTAACACCGCAAAACATTGTTTCGTTCAACTGAACAATAGTAACAACTCGTATATTTAGGCATGGACAAGAGAAACAAAGCGGCAGCTTCCTTGTACAAATTGTTGCCGAAACAAATTAAAGAAAATATTATATACAACAATGACATATCTATATTTCAGTCACTTTTCGGGGCAGCCAAAAAAAGTATCTAAATTCTTACAGGTCTCGGCCAAAATTTGTTAAACATATTTAATTCACAAGGAGGATTTTCAAGTGGGGAGGTAGCTAACTAGCTAATGAGGTCTCTGTTTGAGAATCGTTAGGTAGTTGGCGAACAAATTGTCCTTTCACTCGTGGACGCTGCTCAGCAAGCTGTTTCCTGCTTTCGTATCGCACCTGTAAACAAAGTTGCAATTTTTTATTAAGAAAAAATAAAGGACAAGGTTTAACGAAATTTCACCACATTTATCATCATATGAAGTTATGTTTTTTTTTAAAATCGAATTAAATTTCAAAAACAAATGCAAGAATGGTAAATAGTGTGTCTCCATAATTTTTTTTAATTATTATTTAAGGGTTGTTGACATCACTCAATTTCAGTTGGTAAAGAGATTATGAACAAACCTTTTTCTCAAAGCATCTATCTTTCCTCTTCATCCGGAACTTTGTGAGAGCAGCTTCTCTTAGCATGGATCGATGAGCGGGCCCGTCTTGAACATGGAAACATTCTTCGTTGACATTGCCAAGGGAACTATTACCACTACCGAAATTGCTATTACCACTCTGATAATTCGAAGGAGAAACACGCTCTAAGTCCTCTGATTTCTGACCTTGTTTGCCGTCTGTATGATCAATGGCACTACCGAAATTGCTATTACCACTCTGATCGAGAAGGTTGTACACTTGCTTAGAACTCGAGGGATAGAAAGGATTCAATTGAGCGAAAGACTGTGAGTGATTAGCTGTGCCAGCTGGACTGGACATTTGAGGCCTCAAAGAACCGAACCCGTTTATTACATTTTCGAATCTTGCGCCTCTAACTGGAATCGGTTGAGATACATCTCTTTTCTGAGTGTAAGAAAATGTAGTCTCGGGAATTCCTGATTGGTTGATATCTATCGGTCGAAAGTCGTAATTATAATCAAGAATATGATTGGATTGCTGTTTCTTGGAACTGGTTTCGGTGTCTTTTTGCTGATTACACGTACTCGCTGACGTGGCGTTTTGGGGCTGTAATGTCTTGTCATTATTGACATACCTACATAAGTTGAATTATCCATCAGACCACATATTTTTAGGCCTAAAAGTGAGAGAATTTTTCTCCAAAACAAAAGGGAATGTATATATAGATTGATAAAACTCACCGAGAGAAGGCCGATGCATCGGATTGTTTTAACCTACGTGTTTCATCGTTTACTTGATTCACAGAGCCACTTGGATGAGATCTTCTCAAAGACAAATCCAAAACGGGAGTATTGTCAAACTTGTTCGTACCATCAATCGAGGCAGTATTTCCAAAATTGCCCTTCAGGTAATTATCAAAAGCTCCAAGTAAGTCAATGGCCTCTCCCCCTCTAGAAGAACTCTCAGGTACATCACGACTATTATTCTTCTCGGAATCTCGACCAATGACATCATCGGAATTCTTGTCCTGTCCTTGTGTTGTTCCACAGTTAGCATCTACATTAGCTACAGCTTTTTCAGTATCTGCTCCTTTATTATCCAACTCCGGTCTTGTGCAAGAGCTCTGAAGGAAAAGAAAGAAAAAAAAGGGGTAAGTAGTATGCCTTGAATATATAACGGATAAATTTATATCCATTGAACAAACAGTGGACTTGCACTGAGAACCGAAAGCTACCTGAGTATCACTTCCTTTCTCAATACATTCCTTATTTTTTTTAATGCATGTCATATAATGACTCGAATTATTACTAATATCATTATTCTCAGCCGTGGCTTCGAGTTTTTGTTGAGCTCCAGTCTCTTCCGGAGGTCCAGGGCCAGCACCAATAGACTGCGTTACGGATTGAAAACAAATTTAAGATTCCATGATAATCTGTAACCAAAAACAAAAAAATAAAAAGCAAACTATTGAAGAGAAACGGGGGATTATTGAGCTTACAGCTTGTCTTCTCCAGACATGCTGCCACAAGTTCCGCAACTCGTTTTTCCTTAAAGGTTTGACGAGAAAGTCAGCTGCACCTCTCAGCATGCATTTGTAAACTGTACTGACTGAATCTTGTGAAGACATCACTGCATTACCAATGAAAAAGGTGCTTGAGTATAAAATTACCCCAAAACGAATTAGAAGAATTAATTTCTTTGAAATGCCCTTTGCTAAAACGCACTTATTACTGGGATATTTTTGCAGATGTCGTGCTCCATGATTAAGGTGAGAAGAGCATATCCAGAGATTGAAGGCAATTCAACTTCAGTCAAGATAAGGTCAATATTGTGGGATCGCTCTTTCAATACCTCCCATGCTTTTAATCCGTCGGAAACCGCAGCAACTGCTTCAAAAGAAACGGGCGTTTAGCTCTCAAAAAAAGTAAGCCATTCACAGCAACAACACATCATCCGAAATTAATCGAACTTGTCACTCAGCCCTACAACAGTATTCAAAATGGTCTTTGCTACTGTGTACGAGAATTTTCAGAATCAGATCATCTCTCTTATCCAAAACATAGGAATAACAACAAACAAAGGGATTATATTGCATCGAATCGAGAAATTTACATAGTATTCGATTTTCCATCAGAAACTATGATACTTAACTATATCAAAAAAGCTCTAATCTCAATTCACAGACGGTAAATTCCAATTTATCCAATAAGATTTTCACTCATCGCTATCAGTAATCAAAAGATCCTCAATATCCAGGAACACTTCAGATATATCAAAATTTCAATTTTCCCCAAACCTTACAAAAATGCACAAATTCCAGAAGAAGAAAAAAAAAATTGAATTGGAAAACAAACCTTTGTAGCTGCATTTCCTGAGTAGGGCGGCGACAATCTGCCTAGTGGAATCATCAGCTTCCACCAACAGCACTCTCACAGCCATTTTCGGCAGAAAATTCCCCCACATAACTTCAGGAGAAGAAGAATTACCGGCTACCGGAGCCGCCGCCGCCGCCGCCGGGATTCCAGCGCCGTCGGCTGTAATCTTCCTTTTCCGGTTCAATTTTACAGCTGATCGTGCTATCTCTGATTCTAGAACTTGTAATTCCATCTCGCCTTCACTGCTTACAATGATTTCTTCCATTTTTCGCCTGAAATTTTAGCTCTGGAATAGTTTTGCAACGAACTTCCAAACACCCGAAAGAATAAAATAATATCTGAATGGAGAACCGCTGTCTTTGAATATTGATCTTATGGTGGCCTTTCATTGGTTTTCTGATGGCTCGAATTTCCTTTTTCTTTTGTTTTTTTTCAGTTTAACCCCTAATAATATGAATATAATACTTTGCACCCCAAAGTTAATATGATAGTGGAATTCGACATTTTATTCCTCATTACTCTAGTACCGTATTAAATGATCACTTCAATCAAAATATTGATAATATTGATCGCCGCTCTGTTTCTTTGAGCTAATGAACATCTAAAATTGAATTCGATCTCAACAATTTTCTTTTATTTCTGTTTGAATTGGTTCATCGGGCTAAAACTCCACTCATTTAAACCCCTGTATGCATTAGGCATGATAAGTTGGACTCATATACACATTTAAAAGCGATAAATTGTAACCAAAAGTGGAACACGAGAAACTAGGTAATAAACTCTATCTGTAACGAGTATTTATTTATAAACAAGGTGACAATTATTTGTAAATGAGTGGAGTTTGCTTATTATTTGTTAAGTTATAACTTAAATATATACTTTAAGACAATAAATTATCTATTACGTGTTGAATAAATCGCGAATTTATTAATGGAAACTAGAGGAATTACATTTTCCGGGAGAGAAATATTATAAGATAAAGTAGTAATGTCAAAAAATAATTGAGATATTATTAAGAAAAATATATGTGCATTTGACAAAAAAATAACTGGTTTTATTTAATAAAGGATTGAAAATGAAAAGATATCCAACCTTTTGAGGTACATAATGCTATTTGCAATAATTGTATGCCCAACGTTTGCCAATCATAAAACTTTTAGGGGGCGAAATTGCTAATAATAATATCTAGATACAAAAAGGTAAAGTGACTACAAAAAAATATCTAGAAGGGCCTAATGTATGCTCCAATATGGCCACGTGGACCCCCAAATTAAAAGGCGGAAGGGTTAGAAGTTAGAACCAATGGACAATAATAAAATCACATCCACCTAAAATAAAATTTGGTAGGGTAAATTATAACTACCCCTAAGGTATGGTAAATTAAGAAAATCCCCCTTTTTTTCTTGTTTTGGTAATTATAACCACCACTCAACTATAAAACTTCTTACATGTCCATTATCGCAGTTTCAAATTTAGTGGAATTTTCGAGATTATATGAAATATTATCACTTTTGTACCCATTATATCACATTAGAACTCCACATTATGAAGCAAGATGATCATAATATGTGTTTTTTTTGACTTGTATATATCAGATTGTGGTGCACCAGACACTGTAGTTTTACACGAACGAGTACAAACTAGAACACATTCCACAAAATCTAGATGATTATGTTGAATTTGACACCATAAGGGTGGAGGTGTAGGGAAAAAATCACAGCTGATGGGGTAGATGCAATTATCCGAACAAGAGATATTTTTTCGTAAATTGACCATACCTCAGGGGTGGTTGTAATTTACCCAAATTTGATAATTTATTAAAGCACAAATGTAATATCAAATTACGAAAAAAATCTTTCTTGTTTAATTACAAACACCTCCCGTAACTATATATTTTTTTATGAAAAAACCCCTCATTTAGTAGGTAGAGTTAACACTGTAAAGATGGATGTGTAAGACAATACATAGTTGAGAAGAATTGTTATAATTACCCAAACAAGAGGGGTATTTTCATAATTTGGTCTCACTTTAGGGGTTCGGCGGTAATTTGCTATTTATTAAAAGATATATTTTTGTGGGACATTATTTTTATGGGATGGTAGGGCCGGAGAAGAAGATATTTTGTGGCTAGTGGATAGGACCTTGACAAGTAGACACGAGCATTTGAGATCTTTAAATTTGTGGCTTTGAATTTGCCAAACAATTCAATATTCAATTCATATTTTAGTGGTTTGTTTGTCCAAAGGAAAGCAATCTATGCAACTTAGAAAAATATTTGAGATCCCTCAAACTCGCTTTGTGATTGGTTGGAATATTTTAAGTTTTTGTGGTATCCTATGTATCTCCCACTTTAATAGATCAAGAAAATTTAGACATGATTACAATATGATTTAAAATAGAGAACATAAACAATACAATAATGGTTATAATCAAACAAGCATGTTGCCAGAAAATGTCAAGACAAATTCAATGTGATGGTACGACACTACGACCAGAAGAGAGAGAGCAGAAAAGATCAGAGAGTAGGGTTTGGGAGAGAGGCAGAGTCTAAATACCTCAAATAGGTTGTGATGATCAAAGCTGAGAGAACCAACGGTGAAGATGCAAGATGTAAAGATTTCTCTGAATTTGACCGATCACTTGAATTTTTTTTTTGCCGGTAGACTTTGTGTTGGGCCGTCTTAGAGAAGAAATGGTTTAATGGGCTTGATTTCACTAATCCATGTGCGCCGGAAATCCAATAAATCTCCATCAGGGACCAGAATTTGGTGTTATTTCGTTTGTACATTATTAGACGATTGCAAAATTTAACCAGTGAAAGGTTCATTTTGCAAAAAAAAAAAAAAAAAAAAAAAAAAAAAAAAAAAAAAAACAGTAGAGGGTTTTGAGGTGGCACAATTCAATTCAATTGTACGAGGAAAAAAGGTTTTTTTATTGCAATTCAATTGGACTATTTGAGATATATTAATAAAAAAAATATATCCTAAGCATATTTATTCATCGTGGTTTTATGGGGACCAATAAGATGTTTAAAAAAAAGAATAATGAGCTGTATATAAATATCTTCTAGATTTTTCTGAGATTTGATTTTTTGCTTTACTTTTTGAATTAGTAGTGTGCAGTGTGTGGTCCCTAATAACTAATTTGTTAGTCCTATGTTTGGCGCCTAATTTCTCAAGAAAATAAAATAAAATCGCATAGTTTAAAAATTATGGTAAATTACGGTCACCCTTCTTATAAGAACAAATTACAAAAAATCCCTTATTGTTTGGATAATTACAACCACCTCTTCAACTATGTATTGTCTTACGAAAAACTCCTTTCTCAACACTTTAAGGGTGAAATATGTAAGACAATACATAGTTGAAGAGGGTGATTATAATTATCCAAATAAGGGAGATTTTTTCGTAATTTGATTTTACCTCAGAGATGTTGTAGCCATAATTTGCCTTAAAAATTAATAATGCTAATGCTCGTCAAATTTTAAAACCAATTTGATATGAATAAATTATGGAGGAATGTTATTTACAACCAATAAAGTAATCTTTTCAACATATTATTATGGTGGTGTTTGCAAAAGCTTTTTGAAAGTGATTATGAGCTTTTTTAGCTCATAATCTGTTTTCAGGTGTTTGCAAAGTCAATTTTTGCTTTTGCTTCTCTTAAAATAATCTGCTTTAAGCTATTTTTTTTTAAAAGCATCCATAAACCTGCATTTTCTATTTAAGTTCTTTTTCCGGAATATTTGCAAACACCCCCAACTTTTACAAATAAGCACTTAAAACTAACTTAACTCACAATCACTAACTTACATAATTTTATCCATACATTTTTAATATAAACCCCAAAATCAGTTATAAAAAATCCCCGATCACTGAATTCATTATATCTATTTAGATTTAAGGTAAATTACAATTATTTCCCTCAGGTAAGTCAATTTACGTGGGAAAAAAAAACCCCTCATTTTTGTAGAAATTACATTCAAACCCCTGCAATTTGTAAATTTCTTACATCCACCTCATACAAAAGGGTGTTAATGTAAGAAATTTACAAATTTCAAAAAGTGGATGTAATTAAGAAAAAATTAGGAATTTTTTCGTAGTTAGACCTCACCTCAGGAGGGCAGTTGCAATTTATCCTATCTATTTATCTAAAAAAGCCCATCGGCCCATTGGCCCAATAGAAACAGTTCAATTAAATGGCAGCTCGAATTTATCCAAAGCCCAACTCCAGATGGTGTTGTTCCTTTTCTTTTCTTTTTTATTCTTTTATTATTCTTTTATTCTTTTATTTTTTATATATATTTTGTCAGGAATTTTTGAATTCTGAAACTTAAAATATGCTGAAATATTTATTATTATTATTAAATTAAATAAATAAAAAAAGCGAAACGACCAAAATTCCGTATCATCAAATATTGAGTTACAGAAGCATTTCAAAGTTTTCAAAAATGGCGACACAGTATTTTGCAGCTCCGTGTTTGCAGAAGAGCTCAACCTCCAAGCATCAAATACTTTCTCGCTCTGGTTTACCACTGTCTAGGGTTAGTAGCCGCACAACGAATCACCACCCACTGTCGTTTTCTTCGTCTTCGGAAAGCTTCAGATTTCTCGATTTAGGTTTAAAACCACACGAAATTGTCTCCCGCAAAAATGGATCGTATTCGTATGGTGTCAAAATGTCATGGGATGGTCCTCTCACTTCTGTCAAATTCATTCTCCAAAGCAAAAGTTTACAGGTATCCAAAACGTCGTCGTTTGATCGTCTGAAATTGAAAGGGGGAAAAGAAAAAATTAATTGTGTATATTTCCTGTCTTGAACTGGAAAATTTTCACTGATTGAAGAAGACCAGAAATTCAATTTAATTTTTTTTGCATTTATGGAAATATAGTTGACTCCGGCGGTGAAGAGCTATGTGGAAGACAAGTTGGGTAAGGCAGTTCAAAAGCACAGCCATTTGGTAAGGGAAGTTGATGTTACATTGTCTGCTCGTGGTGGAGAGTTTGGCAAAGGCCAGAAACTACGAAGATGCGAGGTTTGTCATTCATTACGCATCAACCGAAACATGCTTTTTTTCGTTATCAAATTATCGTGTCGAGTTAGGTTTTGTTATGTTTAATCAATCGTCATTTATTTGTTTCACGAAGAAACATCGTTAACCGAAAAGTGTTTTGTTTTTACCAGATTGTTGTGTGTCGAGTTAGGTTTTGTTATGTTTAATCAATCATCGGTCGGAACGTGCATTTATTTGTTCCGCGAAGAAACATCGTTAACCGAAACGTATTTTGTTTTTACCAGATTGTTGCATGGCGCTAGTGTTTTTTTATTTATTATGTTTAATGAAATCATCATTCAAAATACGCAGGTGACTGTGTTCACAAAGAAACACGGAGTAGTACGTGCGGAAGAGGACACGGATTCGCTCTATGGTAGTGTAGATTTGGCTTCGTCTATTGTACTAAGAAAGCTGAGAAAGATTAAGGAGAAAGATTCCGACCATGGCCGCCATATGAAGGGCTTTAACCGCCTGAAATTTAAAGACCCCTTTGCACTGAAAGTTGAAAGGGACGACAACAAAGACGAAGTTCGTAATGAAGGAGATGAAAATGAAGACAACGTTAATCAGGTTGTTATACATCATTCTTTTTTGTATCGATATTTGATATGAAATGCATGTTATATTTAGTTGATCCGTTTTTCCCTTTACAGATTGTTAGGACAAAGTACTTTGATATGCCCCCTTTATCTGTTGCCGAAGCAATTGAGATGCTGGAGAATGTGGATCACGACTTCTATGGCTTTAGGAATGAGGAAACTGGTAAGTTTTTCGTTTGGTTTTGTTTCCGTTTTTTCGTCTTTATTATTTTCTTATGGGTTTTTTTCTTATCGCTCTACAGGTGAGATTAACATTGTTTACGCGAGAAATTCTGGGGGCTATGGACTTATTATTCCTAAAGAAAATGGCGAAACAGAGGAAGTGGAGAACTCTGTTGTTCTTGGTTCTGCTACTAACTAAATTCGGTGAAGATGGGATCTCTTTTTGTAGCTTATGGAGTAGCAGTGTTTTGAAAAACTACGCGTAAAAACAGAAAATTATCTTACAGCTCGTGAGTACATTTGTAGAAAGTGTTTTGTAAAGTGAGAAAAAAAAAACTCTCGTATGAGCAGGAATGTGATGCAGAAAGACTAGGAATCTGTAGGAGACTGTGTTCTCAAAACCGCCATATATTTTGTTACATGGCGTTATTCGGAAAATCGCTTTCTTCCTCTCGTTACTATGCTGCTACTAGTTATGTAATTCTCATATATATTTGCATTGAGTAGTCTGCAGAAAAGTGACTGTTAGTTTATTTTCTTGAGAAAAAATGCAGTTCAAGAATTGAATCTACGAAAATTTGCAAGTCCTTTCGTCTTTCATAATTCTTTTAACAATGTACGAAAGAATAAAGCTCTAACAAAATGCCGTTATTTTCGAATCAATGGTTATTGATATACAATATATTTCAACATCATCTCATCTCTCTACTAGCACCTCTACAATTTTCATTCTCCTCACTGCACTCCCATTTTACGGCTCACAAATAATCCCCAGCATGCAAAACTTGTATATAACCGATTGTACAGCTCATCTTTCTGAGGAAAAAAAAAAAACCGGATTTAATTCCCTGTGACAGTCTCGTCTCCCGTTGATAATTGGATCATCATTTTCACCAAATTAGACCTTTGGTACACGAGAATCGAGAACTAGAAAATTAGAGCCCCCAAATAAAACCAGCAAACTTCTCATTTACCTTCACTAACACGAACCGTTGGCTTCCTTCGACTTTTATTCGAAAAACTCGCTGCAGAAACACTCAATAGCTTGTTGATAGACATCCCTTCACCTAAAATCTTTCTCTTCTCTTCGTACCTATGCTTAATACGACCGTCAAGCTTGTACCCAAGAAATGCAGGAAAGGACAAAAGCTCCCCAACTTTTCGACCCATTTCCTCAATCAAGTAATCCAGTTTCTCCTCCAAAGACTCGTGATTGTACTGCAAAACTTGAGGGTGTTTCTTGCTCATATCCAAAATATCCTCACAAGTCAACCCGTAATTCAAGAAAACCCCAATCACTTCTTGCAGATTCTTACAACTGCACCTCGTGACAGCTCCCATCGCCATAGCCAACTCCTTTGTCCTATTCTCGTACCCAATCTTCACCAAGACAACCAATTTATTCGCTAAATTCTCCTCAAATGACAAACTCAGAAACAAAGGTGCTTTAATCAAGAACTTGAATATGTCGTTCGAACTCAATCCACACTCCTTGAGAAAATCGATTCTTGGATGAATTTTCCTCTTTCTGCTTGCGCTGAACAGACTCGGATAAACGAGTATGATCTTGAAAATCTCCTCGTAGCTCAAACCAGCGTAGGAATTCAAGAATTCGACGTGGTCTTTTAAGTGGTCAACGCTATAAGCCAAAACGAATGGGAATTTATGCAAAACTATCGATGTTGAATCCTCGTTATTCCCGCTCAAATCTAAGAGGAACCCGATTCTTGGAATTAAATGAGTATCTAAATCGTAGTTGAGAATGAGGGGCCTCCGTAGGATCAAGTTGGGCCCACCAAAGCGTTGCAGATAAGCGAGTGTTATCTCGATTTCTTCAATGGATTTAAGACACAACGCTTTGGTGAGATTGACATTGTTGAGCACGTGAACGAGCTTTTCTTTGGGAATGCCGAATTGGAGTAGTAATCTCACTTTCGTCTCGAATCCGACAAGACATCGAGGGTCTGCTGTGTTCAGGAGGCGCTCGATTTGGGCCGGCTCGATTTGTGCATCAAACTCTGAATTACAGTTGCCGATGAGGAAGTTGAGCAGCGTGTCGATTTCTTTGGACGTTAATATGTAGGGCCGTTTGAGGATTAACTTAGAGAGAGAAAGGCTGTCCAATCCAGCAGATTGAAGGAGATGAACTCTGCTGTGAATGGATTCCAAAGGGGTAAATCTAAGAACTGCATTGTTATCCAAAATTGCTTCAGTCTGTTTCTCGTTGAACCCCATTTCTAGAAACAATGGGAATATCATTACACCTAAAATTAAAACAAATAAACAGAATTAAAATCAAAATCAAAATCAAAATTAAAATTAAAATTAAGATATTAACTCTCTCTCTCTCTCTCTCCCATTAATTAAACCCATTTATTGAACTAGACGAGAACATCGTTATAATGTATACCTAAACCCAACATAAAAAATAAAAAATTATAATTTCAATCCTCCATTAAACTAAAGATCGAAGCTTTTTTTTAATTATTTAAATTACAGCATGTACCCGAGTGCGCAAGCGTGGATTGATTGGCATTGATAGTGAGAGCGCAGCAGCGGCAGCTGAGAATTAGGGGTTTGTTTGGGAATTTATGGCGGAGAGAGAAACAAGAGAAATGGCTGAGGGAGGAGTGGGTGAAAGCGGGAGCTCTGAAGTAAAACGACGGCGTTTGGACTCGGAAACTGGAGGGCAGAGCAAATGTATTTGCAGCCATTGATGAGTAGAGAGAGGGAACAACGCTCTGGTCAATTCATGAATTGATAGATAAGCAAATCAGCCCCCCATATTTTGTTCCGGTTCGGGTTTTTTTCCTTTTAATGTAAACGGTTAAACTTTAGGGTAAATTACAAAAAAAACCCTGAACTTAGACTAAATAACGTAAACACCCCACCTATATGTAATAACCAAAATCCCCCTCTGATTAACTGTTGAGCGTTGATTGAGTTTGTTAACAGAAAAGAAAATGTGTATTGGAATCAAAAATATTTCGTGAAAAAAGTCATGATGTAAGGGGTTGGTGTAAGATGAAAACAAACCTCGGGGGATTTTTGGCAATTAAGAATAAGTTGGGCTGTTTTTCTGTTATTTAGCCTAAGTTCAGGGGGGGTTTTGTAATTTACCCAAAATTTTATTCCATATCCGGTTTTTTATTTATTTAAATCATTTCATACAATAAACCAACCACAAAATGATTTTTTTTTTAAAAAAAATCAATTTTTTAAAAACTAATATTCATGGATGATTTGTACAAAGTAAATAAATAATTTACACTGCAGTGAAATAGATAACAGAGTGCAAAAATTCACAGTTGATGCCCAAATGATCTGCGCCTCTTAATAATAATGTACAAAACAATGAGTGCCAATATAATTTCGACAATTACGAACAAATGCGCTTACGCTTACTATAGGTGTTCCAAAAGATTTCGATAAATGCTATCGTCCCCAAATAAATAGATAAATAGTAACTTCCATTGCAGCATCTTCAAGCTTTCTTCTGTTTCGACTTGAGATAGCTTTTGGAAATGCTCGTTCCGTTTTTATTACTGGTGTGGATGCTCTTAATAAGAATAACAGATGCGTTTCCGTCTTCCGAATTCCTGGATAGCCAACAAATGCCGCCATTATAGAATAATATACTGTTGTTATATGTGCAATGCATAGAAGAAAGTTATGCAATAGACGAAGAAACTTATAAAGAAATGCACGTCACTTACAAGTCCGATCGGGATCGCTTCTTTTTTAGAATCCCTCCAACTTTCTTCGAAGCCTTCTCGTGAATTTCCGATTTATTCATCTGATGATACACGCACGGAGAATATAATAAGCCAAGGATAAAGATCCACAATGTAATAACATTATAAGCACGGGCATATTGCACAAGATCAGAAACGTGAAAAGATAACACCAGTCTCGAGAATTTAGCAGCGTAAAGCTGAATAAGGTACCATCATAATAGGGTTAAACTAAAAAACACGATATACGAAGAAAACAAATTCTCAAACGGTTTAATTACAACGATATCCCGTCATTCCTACAAGATATCGTAGTCCACATGATGCAAATGTTTTAACTCGACTTATTTATGCACATGTAATCCAATAAACGCAAAGATCACATCGAATGTAAATCAAACAAGTTCGTCGAATGTCAATCAAACAATCACATCATTCAAGCTATATATAAATATATGCTTAAAAGTTGAAACAAACATATCATTAGGCAAACACAATAATCGGATAACAATTGCTTTAAACTCACTTCGTTTGATGACAAATCGTCAACTTTCGACTTCTTTCCCCCACGTTGATTCTCCTCCATTTCCCCACTGACTTTCCTCTTCTTTTTACTGCCCAAAATCTCACCTTTCCCTTTCTTATCCCTCACTTTCCACACATTCTTCTTCTTGTACAGCAATTTGTCGAATTTCCAGCACTCGTAACTTGTATCTATAACCGTTACCTCCGTTCGCGAAAACCCGATCAAATTCCCATCTCTTCCAAGCCCTTCTTCCCCACCTTCATTGTCCCATTTACACAGCTCCCTCACTCCCTCCACTCCACTATTGCTATCGCCACTCCTCAACAGCGCCACCTTCACCGAAGCCACATTGCTCGCATCGGCCCCAATATTGGGAACTGCACAAATTCTAGGGTTTGTCTGTTTGCGGGCGGATTTCTTCATCTTTGCTGGGTTACTGCATTTATCTCCAAAATTGAATAACTCGTTGAGAACATTGCTCATCATACTGAACAATTGTTCATCTTTGCCCTGATCCGGATCGGAAATTGAGGCGGAATTCGGTTTCGGTTGCGGCATTTCGTGGGTGGGAGAATTAGGGTTTTGGAGGAATTGCTCCAGATCGTTGACGCCATTCTCGGGGAAGCCTTTGGCGGTCCGCAGCCGGTCCAGCCAGCTCTTGCCTGATTTTCCGGTCGGAGCCGGGCAGAGCATTGCCGGACTGGGCTACTGACAGGTTCGTTTTCCGGTGTACAAATTACAGAGAGAAACTGAGAATTGCGTTTTGAGATTAATTACTGGAAAAATTCAATTTGTCAAAGCTTTTTAGCCAAATGTAAAACCGCGCACTATTTCTTCACTTTTTGTTTTTTTATTATACATATAATATAATTTATCAAAAAAAAAATTGTTTTCACGATGATGTAAAGTATAAACAAATAATTCAATTTTGCATAGGGTAAATTGCAATTCGCACCCACGAGTAAAATATATTTACAAAAAAAAAAAAAACCGCTTATGTTTTATATAATTACATCCACCTCCTGCAATTTATAGATTTTTTGGTAAATTACGGCCAACCCCTGAGGTAAGGTCAAATTACGAAAACTCCCTCATGTTTGGTTAACTACAACTAGCCTTTTAATTATAGATCTTCTTACACGTCCACCCTTACGTTGACAAATTTAATACAATCTTCTAGATTCTGTGAAATGTTATCTAGTTTGTATTCATTTTGTCTTAAAGTGCAGTTTTTGATTCACCATAGGATGATATTTAAAACCAATAGATACGTCGTATATGATTATCTTGTTTCAAAATATGGAAATCGAATGTGATAAAACGGGTACAAATTGGAAAATATTCCACATAATCTAGAAAATTCCAATAAATTTTGCACCGCAAGGATGGACGTACAAGAAGATTCATAACTGAGGAGTAGTTGTAGTTATTCAAACATGATGATTTTTTTCGTAATTTCACCTTACCTTGGGAGTGGCCGTAATTTACCCTAGATTTTACATCAACACACTTGTAGGGGGATGGATGTAAAAATATATAAACTATAGCAGGTTGAATGTAATTTCTCAAAAAATAAAGGGTTTTTTGGTAAATAAACTTTAAGGTGATTGAAGTTAACCTTTTTTCATATCAAATGGAGATTTTCACACATTCAATAAATAATTATGTTATTTTATCTATCAGCTTGGTCAAATATCTATTTTTTTACAAAAAAAAATAAAATTAGTATCAAATAATTATAATAATTTAAACAATTAATTAATTGTCCAAATCCAAATCCAAATCCAAGTCCAAGTCCAATCCAAATTCGGTTTTCACATTGATAAAAACTAGGGCGTACCAAAAATCCCAAATTCCTCCCTATCCAGAAAAAAAGAAAAAAAGAGGGCGAAAAACTGTGATCACACAATCAACAACAAATCCAAAAACAGCTGGAATCCCGTCGCCGTCATCAATCCAACACCACTGAGTTTGTTTGGCGGTGTAATTTATCCGATTACTTGTTTCCTAACCTCTCTTTCTCTCTCTAATTTTCCCTCTCTAGATTTTTTCGGATCTTTTTCCAACAACTCCGACAATAATTGACGCCGGATCTATTTCTCCCACACACTCCATATTCATAGCCAAAGTTTCCGCCTTTAATATTCTTATCGGATACTCTCCGCACACCCTTTCGAGATCCTCCTCCTACCCCCCCCCCCCCCCCCCCTCTTTTTTTTTGTTGAAGTCAGTCTTTTTAATATATTTGTACATATTTGCCGTATTAATTCTGCTATTTGTCGTTGTTGTCTGTAAAAAAAAAAAAAAAAAAAAGTAACTAGTTATGGCATCGGTTGAGGCGTTTTTGGAGATTCTGAAAAGGCCCACCATTTGGGGGATGATGCAGTTTTTAGGGCCTGTTTGGTTTGCTTTTGTTTTGGGTGTAATTATGGGGTGGGTTTGGAGACCTAGGTGGGCTAGGGCTAGTTTAGGGAATTGTAAATTTGATGTTTCAGCACCTTCTTCACCTTCCACTTTTGTTCCTGCTGCTCCTGTTAAAGATTTTGGTATGAACCAGAGTTTGGATTCTTGTTTGTTGGATGATAATGGATTGAACAAGGAACAAAAAGCTTTGCCAGCAGCTGTTGATGGTGGTGCTGTCTGCAGGTAAATTTATCAGCTTCTTTTGCCGAAGTTGTTATTGTTTTATTGATTTTATCCGTATGCTCGATGGAAATGCGTTTAAATATGCAGACCTGTTGTATTTGTTTCGTCTTCCTTGGACAATTTTTTTGTTTTGGCTTTTTGCCTGACTGTGTGTACAAAATGTGAATTGATATGCCTAACCTGTTGTGTTCTTGATAAATAAGAAGTTTGCTTACTGCATAGGCGTGTTTTAATGGTCAATTTGTTATGGCTTTAGTTTAAATTGTATGAAGAATATATTTTTTTGTTGTTTCCGAATTGAGTGTAACGAGCTTGTTGCATTACCATGTACTTCTAGAATTCTATTGAAAATCTGTATGAGGCGAGGACGTGTTGCTTTGCTTAAACTTTGCATTCTTGAATTATATCGAGTTTAAATATTGAAGCTGTATTGATCAAAGAGGACTCCTTTTTCTTATGCATTTCTTATGTATTATTTGAGATGAGAACTGCCCTTTATTACTAAATTTGTCGGCACAACTTGCTCATAAAACACATATTTTTTCTACAGCCAATCGGAGCTAATAAAAGAAGACGGCGTGCTCGTTATGTACGAGGATTTTGAACATTTACGGCAGCTGGTCGAGAGGAAAGATGGTGGGCCCCCTTGGAAGCATATGATGGATCGTTCAACCCAAAATATGATCTTCCAATCTTTGCAGAGAGATCCCGAGGTACTTCAAGAATTTCAATGTATCTTCTTTGTAGTATCTGCGAAAATTATGTTTATGTTTTTAATTAAATTATTGTTGTTGGTTTATCAGACTGGTCCTCCTCAGTATTGTAGCAGAACCGTTTACGAAGATGCAACTCCAGAATTGCTGAGGGATTTTTTCTGGGACGATGAATTTCGAACGAAGTGGGATGATATGATTGTACATGCTGCGATTATCGAAGAATGTCCCACCACAGGAACCATGATGGTTCATTGGATACGCAAGGTTGTTATTTTAGGATCATTTTTCTTTAATTATTAGTCTAATAAATATTTTTTGGTGGCATTTTGGGATCATTTTCTTGAGTACTGATATCGATATCTGATTGTTTCTCGTACAGTTCCCGTTTTTCTGCAGTGACAGAGAATACATTATAGGTCGAAGAATATGGGAGTCCGGAAGATCATATTACTGTGTGACTA